GAGGAACACTAGCAGCCTGAGGGAGCAAAAAAAAAAAGAGCTGTGTTTAAACTGAATAAAAGAAAGAAGGCTATGAAATTCTAAGTGAAATAATTTTAAGGAAAAGAAAAAAAATAATCCAAGTTATACATCAATGTTTCTCTCAGACACTCCAACTCACACTAAGTTGAAGCAACAATATAATTAGTCATAAACAAACTTACCATTGATGATTGGTGGCATGGACAGAACAACACCATTGCTGTCATAAATGATGGGATAAAGTGGCTTGTTTTCAATGAGGTGCAAATAGTGTCGAAGGTGGCTGTCAGTCTGGAGGAACAGAGCACATGCTGAATGTCTTGTTAGTTCATGGGTGAACCTCCCTCTCCTAAGATACGGAGTTTTGCCAGAGGGTGGGATGTGGCTTAGAATGAGGTGCTTCACTAGCTACTGCTTTTTACTCTCAGAAGCAAACTTTAAAATGAGAGAATAGGATTCTGTGTTTTCTTCAGAAATGTTAAAAATTATCCCTTTGAGGAATCTCTCTCAGATGTAGAAGCCATGCTGCCACGGCATGCTGTTTACCACAGCAGATATCACACTGCCAAACCCATGGAGCCATATTAGTTCATTGGAACTTTTCTTAGAAGTGATAAAAAAAAATACAGTAGAGTATTTACAATTATTATATGCTGAACATTTGCATGTTTGTACTTAAATCTGATGCAAAATTTACATCTGTTACAATGACACGGACTTCTGAAATGTAGTTTACTTCTAGTCTCTCCGATGCCCCTGGTTTCCAAGCACTCTCATTTGTCTACAATTTAGTCAGAAGTGTTTGAGGATCTCTTTAAAACCAGCATGTGTTTTGTAACAGAGTTGCATAGTGTAAGGATGGTGATAACAGTATCATTTTCAAAAGCTGACACTTGAAGAGGTCAATGAGAATACTGTGAAATTAAACCAGTTTGATTTTTCCTAACATTTACCTAGTTTCCTTAGGATGCTAGGCCAAGAATACAGTCTAACTTGAGCCTTGTGCACAGCTATGTTTGCTTAAAATATAGTTGGGTACATAACTAAACATCTTTTGCAAGGAAGTTGACCAAATTCAAAACAATTAAAAATCTGATATTATATAAAATATTTAGCTCATTTTTTCAGCTTTGTATACAGTTTTTTTTTTCCTTAGAGTAGATAAATTCATAGATAAATTCATAATCCTTGTACAGAAAAGAAGAATGAAACGCAAACTCTGATTTGACAGATTGCTGGGTTGAAATCGAAACTACTATTCTAAAAGTTGTGTTTAGCCACGGGAAATCATGGTATGTCTTTCATGGACAACAGAATTTAGACATTACTGTGGATTTCTCATGAGTAATCAAAATGTGAAACATTCCCTGGCTGAAGCCACAGAGGCTAACTGTGGTTTATTACTAAAGTCTTCTATTAATACCAGGGATGCTCAAAATGTTAAGCCTTGAAGATGTAGCCTCATGTGTTCAGAGCAGTAAGTTTGAAAAAATCACACTTACCCTATACAGATCCATAAGTTGTGAAGCTGTGTATTCCTGAGATTGATTCAAGGGCTTGAATTTAATTTCAGAAGGTGCTTTAGCAGTATAAGTAAATGGACCAGTGATGGTGTCCAAGTCATGGGTACCAATTGCTACTAATGCTCTTTTCCTACGAAGAAAACAAGCAAAATAATAATCCTCAGTAATAATAATAGTAGGATTTGGAGTTCCTTTGAGATGACATCTCATAATACTCCGTATTTCCTATTTATAGCACTTAACAAAAAATTGTAACATCAGCTTTGATTAGGTCTACAATTCTCTTTTCGTGATGAGATATAAATATTAACAAGAGACATAACAGTCAAGCTGAAATCTAATGGGACTGTGGTGAAAAGCTTCTTTCCCAATGGTTACAGGAGTCCTTCAGCTACTATTGAAATAGATCGAGAGGAGGCTGAAACAGACCTGGTAAATGAGAAGGGTCAAGAACGCTGCTATAAAGGGTTTGCCCTTAGCATGAATATCAATATAATAACACTCCCTAATAAGCAGGAGCCATCTTAACTGGTTTTACCACAGTGAACACATTATACACATAGATACCACCCACTACTACAAATTTAAGAACTAACCGGCAAATATTTTGGTGGAGTTTTTCTTGGAGATCAATGAAGCTCTCGTAGCGTTCTTTGGTAAAGGTTATGTTCCGGAGCACTGCAGCAACAGCGTGAGGACGGATTTTGGCAGCCTGCAATTTACAGTAGCAACACGTTATGAACCTCAAGTGCACAGAAGAATAAACTCTCGTTCTACAAAGCAGTAATAGAAAGGAAAAATCACAAAAAATCACTGCAAGTCTGGTAAAGGCGGGGAGATTTTCAGCATACTGTGAACTGGCTCAGCCAACTGGCCAAAGCAAATGCAATGCAAGCAAGCATTGTAGATGTCATTTCATCTGTTGCTAGCTGTACCCAAAATAATTTGTATAATTCTCTTCCCCCTCTTTCATAAAAATAAATCATGCTAAGTAGGAAATGTTAAGTTACTTTAGCTGTTGTTCTACAACCTAGATTTCTAATGTCACTGCTCTCATAGAATTGGTACTGATAGTCCATACTTGGTGGTGAAGAAACTTTAAATAATTTTTCAAAGGTGCAGTAAACACTTTTACCTCTTCAGTGATAATCAGCCTCTGACCTTCACCCTTAGGCGGCATGATCTTTCTGTACCTAGGGATATTTATCCTGGAATAAAAAGGTAAATGAGTCTACACTGAAAGTTGCCAAAATGCAAGAAACTTTAGAAATGTGTCGACAGTTGTATGTATAAAATTTTATTAACATTTCTTGTCATAAATTACATTTATGCTGTTTAAAAACTTGAGTTTTCTACAGCATGTTTTTAAGTGTGGTACACTAGTAGATGGTAAATAGATAACTGAAATGGGAAAGAAGCCCCTAAAAAGCTGTCTGTCACAGCAGAAAAGTGATTTTATATTGATAAATTATTAGGAGTAGAGGGAGGCTCCTGTACAAGAGTTCACAGGTCTGTTACCTTTCTTTAAAGACCTGCAGTCCTCGGACCAGTCCTTCCAGGCAAAGGAGGTCATAGCGGTTGGCAGGAACATCAATCTTATAGAGAACAGTATCAGATGCCCCCTCGGCCTTTCCATCACCTCGCTCTTTTCTTATAATGGTTTTTTCAGATGTCTGAAATTAAGCAAAAAACATGGACTTTAGAATTGAAACATATTAACGCTTCCAGCAGCATGAGGAAAAGAAACCAAGCTGTTTCAGTGTGTAAATCACAGCAATGTCACTTACAATTTCATCGAGCTCCAAGCCGAACTCAAAGCAAAGCTCATCAAATTCTTCATCAGCTGTGATTAAAAAAAAAAAAAAAAAAAGGATTCTGATTAGCAGTCCTCAGTATCTGAAATGCAACTTGATGCTTATTGAGAATGTTCTCAAAGGAATACGCAGTATTTTCCAGAATTCTGTGGGTTTCTTTACGGGCGCGTGCTTGCGAAGGCTTCTAACGGGAGCTGCCGGCCCTTCCCCCGTGCCGTGTCGGGGAGCCGCTCGGCGGAGGGAGCGCGAGCGGGCCGAGCCGGTTCCGCCGCGGCGCGGGTCGCCCTTTCCCGCCGCCCCCCGCGGCGCGGGCCCTGCGGCCGCCCCGGTCGCCCCGCACTCACTGTACGTCCGGCCCAGCGCCTCGAAGAGCGCGTCGCGCTTCACGCTCACCGTCGGCATGGCGCCCGCCCGCCGCCAACGCGCCCGCCTGCAGACCGCGGCTGCCCGCCGCGGTGCCTGACGGAGACCGCGCCTCCGGCTGCCCTCGGTGACGCCTCCCGAGCGCCGTGGCGCGGAGAGGGGCAGATCCCCGCGGGTGGAGCGGGGCTGCGCGGCGCGCGAGCTGTTGGGGAGCGGAGAAGGCGCTTTGTGTGCGCGGGCAGAATGCAGGCAGAGCGCTGGGCAGCTAAAGCCAGGTTGCATCAGCCGCCAGTCTTGGGGGCCTCGGACGGCCTGTGACGCGCCCCGTGACTTCCGGCGGAGCGGGGATTTATCGGGCGGGCCGGGAGTAACGGTTGTGGGTGTGCGTGAGGCGGGACTAACGGCTGCCGTTGGGCCGGTAACGGGTAACGGTCGTCGCACGGGTAACGGCTGCCGGCGAGCCTGATAACGGCCGGCAGCCGCGGGTCTGGCCGGGGCGCGGGCGTTAGCTCGCAATGGGGGCGCCGGGCCGGTGGGGCAGGGCTGGCCAGGCCGGGGCGCGTGCCGGGCCGCGCTGGGCGGCACGGCGGGGGCGGCAGCGGGAGGCCGCAGGCCGAGGCTGTGGCCTCGGCCTGCGGCCTCCCGCTGCCGCCCCCGCCGTGCCGCCCAGCGCCCTGCTCCTTGCGGGGGTTTCTCGCGGCGCCCCGCGGTAAGCGGCACGGCGGGGTGAGGGCTGAGCCGCCCGGTTTAGCAGAGAGCGAGCAGCCAGGCAGCAGTGAGCTGCAGCCCTGAGCGGGCATGGTCGGCCTCCGCGTGAGCTCGCGGGGCAGTGGCCGCAGGGCGAGCTCGTGGAGGTGCCCGAGGGGCTCTGGCCACCCCTGGCACAGGAGATGCTCCCAGGTGCGGGAGCCGCTTGGGAGGGTCCAGGCGCAGGGCTGCGCCTCGCAGCTTGCCCCTGCGAGAAGGGGCCCACGAAGACACCTCCACTGAGGCGCCTCAGTCCGCCGTGCAGCGGGGCAGCCGCGGC